TGGACTAGAATAAAATAGTTTCATTTTACTTATCTTTCACTCCTTCGTTCTGATTTCTAACCGACTCCAAAAAAAGAAGGAGGTATCGGATTGACCTGTATGTTTATTTGTTTGTGTGTCATTTTGTCGCGATTGGTTGAATCGATTTTGATGTAGTTTTCAGTAAAGTGTCTGTTACACTTAAGAAAATGTTTTAGTATACTTAATTAACCAACTTTAAAAAAAGAGGAGAGGAGGAAAAATCATCGAATGATTTCTCCCGCCTGGGTGAGGCCGAAGGGAGTGTCAGACTCTTACTGACTAAAAACCACCCCGTTCGGTTCTCCGCGACTCCGAATCGGCATTAGCCCTATTGGGCCCCATCCGTGGTGGTCTGATGGCTCATAGAAGCGCGCGCGGAACGCGACGTGCTGTACGCTCGGGTACTTCTTTACCTACGAACACAATTATTATGCAGCTCCAGATCTAGACCGCAGATGTTCTTTATCTACTATTTCACAAAATAAAATCTGTTGTAGCATGCCAAGTACGTGCCTGTAATTCACGCCGTAAAAGTTCTCGCAGGTTGAATGAAACGTCTTCCGCTTTCTTTCAGCGTATGTGTAAAAATAGAAAGACTTTATGGTATAGGCGACTGCGTCAAAGGGTTATACGGGTTTTGATACATGCACCTATGGCGATGCTAGGGTTGGTTGTTAGGCTGTAGGCGTACCTATATTAAACTGTCAAACACCAAGCGGTCACCGGTGACCGCAACCTATTGTTCTATAATTGTGTCTACAAAACCGGTACTCGACGAGTTAATGGTGTTTAAAGGTGTAAGGTAAAGGTAAGTAATGTCTGAAGTAGTGTCTTATATTACCTATTATTAACATTTACTTTCGTTTATTTTCCTGACTGACTGAGAAACTGCCTCGTTGGCCGAATGGGCGCAAGTTCGACTGCCGGGCAAGGGGTCTGGGGTTCGATTTCGAGGTCGGGCAAAGTATTACTGGGTTTTTATAAAATAGGCTCACCCCCTATTACATGGAAATAGTGAAAAGTGGGTGTTGTACAGTGGCATTATGTGCCGAAATGTGCACCTCTGCCTACCCCTTCGAGGATAAAAAGGCATGATGTTATGTTATTTGTTATGAAGACTCTGAGAACCCATAGAAAGATCTGCGTATAAAGTTTCTAATTAAGTATCACATTCATAAAATATAATATGTACATACGTAGCTAGGGGTCGTGAAATATTATTGGCCTTGTTTTAAATATAACACGATTTTTTTGCTAATTATATTACAATCGAAGTTTAACTTTAATAAGTTGGTCATTGGGCATAATTTCGAACTATTTGCAGAGTATAATTTGAATCTATAGTTATTTTATTAAACATGGAATTTGAAATCTAGGTCTTTTGCTGAACAGTCGTACTAACATTGACAGGACCAACGAGACGAACTGAAGACGATACTTATGAGTTGTTGTTGTTTTTTAGTCTCTTCTAAGGTAAAGGCACCTAATTCCGCGCTGTTTTTAACATAACACGAAAGAACATTATAAATTAAGTATTTATCGGACCTTTGTGTACAATTTTATATTTTTATCAGAAGTGTTAGCTATCAAATTTTTGAAAAATATTTGCAGTTTGTCAGTAGAAGGTTATTGAAGCTGATAAAATAAATAAAAATATAAAAAAGTCCGAGGTACCTTATTCCGATTTAAAAATCGTAATTCCGATGCATTTGGTTCCTAATTCCGAGTATAAAAATAGAAAGGGAACTATGTAGGGAGAATTATACATGATGTTTAAAAGTCAAATCTGTTTATTTTTTATATTACTTAAATCAATTCTGTTTTTGTTTATTCTAGTTTTATTCTAAACCCTGTTTTTTATTAATATTATTCCTTAATCTTATAAAAATATAAAAATGAATTAACAATATCAACATTAAAATCTAATTGTTGCATTACAAAAATTTTTGTTTCCTCCGATTTTGAGAGTACCGTTTTGCGACCGGCTATATGGCCACTATATTTTTGGTCACGTTTGTCTCTCAATGTCGTTTCTGGAATGTTGTATTCTCGGGAAGCCTTATAGACGCTACTGCCATTATTAATTGCAATAAGCGCACTTTCAAGATCCTCGACCGTATATTTCTTTTTTGCGTTCATTATCCTACAACAACACAAGTAAGTTAATGTAAGTAGTACCACAGGTAATAATTATTTTTACCTGTGCTACGACCCGTAGTAGCACCGGTAAAAAGGGAAAATACCTAATATGAATATTCTTAAGAGTCTTCTAAAGTCATTTTCTTTAATATAATAAAATAAATAAAATACATGCAATTAAAAAAAAACTAAACGTAAAAAAAATAATTTTATTATATTTTTTTACAAACACACACTCCAATTTTATGTATTTGTATAGATGATTAGTATTCTTTCAGTTACTAAACGCGTATCTACTAAGCACATAAAATAATGAACACTCTGTATTTAAACAGGGTCTTAACTAACTTCGGAATTAGGTTCTCATGTAATCTTATTCCGACGTAAATACATCGGAATTAGGTACTCATGTAACCTTATTCCGACGTAAATACATCGGAATAGCGTTTTATGATGCTAAATCAAAGTTTCTAATTCCGAGTACTAAAAAGTAAAAGATTTTTTAATATTATGCAAATAAAATAATGTATAGTTACAATATGAAAGGAAAACAAATATAAAGTACATACATATAATAACAGAACACTTATAAAACCTAATGTCTTCACTAAAATCTTCTATACAACGTATTAATAAAGTACCTGTACAAACAATTTTTGACCTGCTATAATTAGTAAATGCGACGCCACGGTGTACCTCGGAAATAGATTATTAAATGTATGAGTTATTCATTAAGTCAGAACTAACACATTAAAGTTTATAATCATAAAACAGACACCGAAATTTAAAAAAAACTAAATGTCTTTAAATTTGTTTTTCCGTGGTATACATCGGCTTTTAGGAACACACTAAAATATTTTGCACCTAATGCCGCGGTATTTTAAACACTTATTTTCTTGCTAATTTGCAAATAAAATACTCAAATCTTAAGTGTTTTCGATAAAAAATATTATCCTTTCAATATTTCAACCTAAACGAAAACTCGCGTTGTATAAAATTATTACGTAAAACACTATTTGGCAAATCGTAATACTCACGTGCATAAGGTCCCAAATGTATGAAGTGTGCTTTCGACGCCGCTCCCCGCGGCAAAATGACCGATTATTTTACAGTGTGACCATACTAAACTCTCCTTTGTATAAATAAATATGAACAGATAATTATTAATTCATTATTTTATCATGCAGACCATAAATAACTAGTAAATTGCTTTAAAAAACTGTTTTTCTAAATACATCGGAATATGATGCCATTTTTAGAACCCCTCGGAATAAGGTGCATTTACCTTAGCTGTTGCCCGCGACGTTGTCCGCGTACAAAATGGATTTTAGGACACAATTTTTTTTGGTACAATTTTCTTAAATAAAATTAGCCTATGTTAATTCTTGCTACATCAGCTATGCCAGTAAAAGTTCTGTAAAAATCGGTCAATCCATTCTAGAGATTTACCGGGGCTCCAACTCGACGATACGGAGCCGCGGAGAACGGGTTACCGGGGCTCCGGGTCGAAGTGCAGGAGAAGGAACGGGGTGGTTTTAAGTCAATAAGAGTCTGACACTCCCTCTCGCCTTACCCAGGCGCAGTCACTCGATGATATTCCCCCCTTTAAAAAAAATCCATGTAGAGATTAGCCAGTACAAACAGACAGAAAGACAAAAATTGTTATTTTGGTATGTCTTCTCGTATCGTGTTTTATTGTATTGTAGTAAAAAGGTTATTTTAATATTACAAACAGGCAATTCAATTTTATTTATCTGTATAGATTTTATTTATTTATACTCAACAGCAAAAACGAAAACATCGAACGTTATGTTATTAAATTCATATTGTTTTCAAAACTGTCCAATATATTTTCATTCCACTTTCAGTGCCAACAAAACTGAAATTTGAATAGTTTTACGTTTCAATTTGAATTTCAGGGTGCAGTTTTCACTGCGTTCCTCTTGTTGTTCTGGATTTCTGCAACTGCTAAGCTCACCTGAATAAAAGTTCGAATAATCACATAGTTTGCCTTCATTTCAACAATTTATGAAGTTTTCAACAAACATGATAACTTATTCGTTGGATAGACAAAATATTATTATAACCTAATAGGGACCTAATTTCAGTTACTTTAGGCAAACACAACGAAATTATTGTTAGGCAAGCCAAATAAATTATGATTAACAAATAGATAAGAAAGGAAAGCTACATAGAGTACTGGTTATCAAGAGAAATTCCACTGCTGGACTCTGGGACTTCTAGTTTGTCATAATCTCTGTCTCTCGCATTCAGATCAGATACTACCATAACAAAACATTATGCCTTTTATCCCCGAAGGGGTAGGCAGTGGTGCACATTATGCCACTGTACAATGTAACACCCACTTTTCACTATTTATGTTACGAGTCCCATGTAATAGGGGGTGAGCCTATTACCATATATCGGGCATGATTCCCTACTAAGATACTACCATTAGTTGAAAAACAAAAATCGACCTTGTAGCAAAATGATAGGGATTAAAGTGGTCAATAAATAGGGGTGTGTTCTATAATACTTATGGTCCTTTTCGAACAATATTTAATTAAAATAAAATAAGCGTAGAAGGTTTTTATTCGACTTCAAAAAAAAGGAGGTTCTCAGTTGTCCTGTATGTGTTTGTGTGCGACTATCTCACGATTGGCTTAACAGGTTTGAAGGTAGTGGTAGTGTTATCAAACCTATAATAATCCCTAAGGAATCGTAGAATTGTGGTATAGAGTAAAAAAATATATTCAGAAAAATAATCTTCTTCGTTAGTACTGAATATTGGTATCATATACTTATCAGTTTATAATTATTTTCTTTATATATTTGTGACGTATTAGATAAATAAATATTACAGTCGTGAGCGCCGGACGCACGGGGTGGGGGCGACACTTGCAGGCGTCAGCCGTGCCGTGCGGACGTGCGATCACGACCACTAAACTACTGAGTTTTGCTATTTATTTAAACTACCCTAACACTTACCCCTAGTGACGGAGGACGTCACACGTGGCGACGAGTCTTTGGGTAAGTGTTTTTTTTACAAAACGAAAAAAAAAGAGAGAAAAGATAGGTGGAACAGTTTGGTGCAATCTGTGTACCTAGATATTTGTAAATAACAATTTATTGATAAGCGCCTATGGTTGCTTTGCTATGTATGGTGTTCCGTGGTACCTACCGGTTTGTTGTGATGGAAACAATGCGTGCAAGCTACAAATAACATATACATAAATAATCCGTTAAATTACATGTTAAAATCGGCCAAGTTATACGCGTATTACTTACATCAATTATCGTGTATTCGAGCAATACTAAATAATATTCTATGTAGATATATTTTTAATGTAAGTGAATACTTTATTCCTACCTAAGAATCTTTAATGTGCGACTAGAGTGAGACTATTCATAAGTATGTACTTGAAAGTGGTTCACATGAATAAAGAGATTATGAGGTTTGAAGTTAATAAATAACTAACGTTTTCAAACGTAGCCTATCGATTTCCCACAATACCTACAAAAAAAAAAAATTGTAGTGAATTTTATTGATCACTGCCTGATATTATAAATTATAACAAAGTAACAAACAGTAAGGAACATTTTGCCCTTATTATTGTAATTAAAAACCGTTTCACACGCTTTGTATAAACTTATCATCCCGCGTTAATAACATATCACGGGGTAGGTAGATACAAAAGAGCGGTAGGCACGTGAATGCTTAATCTAGCGATATTTTGATACTTGTTATTGCACTGGGCGGGTTCCTGCCGGTGTACGATGAATCACTCGTTACCTCTTCGCCGAGTAGTAAGTCTATAAGACTGGTACTAAGTAAACAATAATACAAAAAATACATTTGCACTCGTGATCTTCGACGAGCCAAACAAGTTATTACTATTATGTGTATCAAAGATAAAGGCAAGGTTCAAATATGCATTTATTTACAAGTAGTAAATTGACAATGTCAATTGGTACTAACGAGAATTATTGAGGTTGTGATGTTACCGACTTATCCGTGAACTGATTGATGCCAGGAATAGTTTCCATTTTGCAAGAAAAATAATCAATTAGTTTTTAGAATGTATATTCTTTGAAAATGCCACATTATGCATGTATGTATTATACATGTATATATATAGAGAAAAACTACTAAATAGTAGTGTTTAAGTTTTAGGTGTTATTTTCCATTTATGGCACTGTAAATTATAATTACTTTAAATTTTCTTTGTGAAATAAATAATACCTACATACTATAACTGTATGTTGTCACAAGGAATAAAATAAAACACGGACTGTTTTATGGTCGTATTATATTTAAGGCAAAGATTAAATATTAAGAAATTAAAATTATTGCTATTCGCGGATGGGTGCATCTACATACTCAACAGTAAACTGGCTGGATCAGTTTGTATTAACAAATGAATGATTAAACACTAGTAGTAACTGATGATGCAGTGGTACTAAAGATAATTTTGAAACCAGTAGTAACTGATGAAGTCAGTGGTACTAACGATAAATCTCTGTCGCAGGTCGCCCCAAAATGTCTCAGATACCACCTCTAGAGACCTTCGATTGCGAAGGCGACCCTGTTTCTGTGGGTTTGCGCTGGGAAAAGTGGAAGCGAGGGCTAGACATTTTCCTGCTTGCGTCGGATACAACTGATTCTGAAAAGAAAAAGGCTACCTTACTTCACTTGGGGGGACTGACGCTCCAAGAAATATATTACAATATACCAGATGATGAAGAGGTAGAGGATGAAAGAGATGCATACGAATTGGCAATTAAAAAACTAGACGTATATTTCTCGCCAAAACAGAGTAAAATCTATGAACGACATTTGTTTAGGCAAATTAAGCAAGAGCCCGATGAAAAATTCGAGAAATTCCTGGTGCGATTGCGTCACCAAAGTAGTAAATGTAAATTTATAAGCAAAGAGGATAATATTATTGACCAGATAGTAGAGAAATGTAGTTCAAAAGATCTTAGGAAGAAAATACTTACCTTAGGTGACGATGTAACTCTCGACAAAATTATATCACTAGCCAGTGCTATAGAGGCAGTGGACCGCCAACTTACTGGCTATAATTATGAATCCAAAAATGCCACTATTAATAGAATCGAGCAAAATACCAAGTCCTTAGAGAATACAGGATGTTCACGATGTGGTAGCATACAGCATAGTGAGGAGAGTAATGTTTGTCCAGCTAAAGCCAAACAATGTTTGAAATGCGGATTTGTTGGGCATTTCAGGAATAAATGCAAAACACGGGCAAGCAAGCGAAAACCCCCAATTCCGAACACAAACAAATATCCAAACAAAAAACGTAGATTATCAACTAAGAATAACGACAAGGCTGAAACTAAAAATACAAATAAACCGAGTTCTTCAAAAACGGATGTCAATTACATATTTCATATCGATGATGACACTACATTAAAGTGCAATTTGGGTGGTGTTCATGTTGACATGGTTGTAGACTCCGGCAGTAAATGCAATATCCTTAGTGACAAAACTTGGGACCGTTTAAAGAAATGCAAAATAGATGTAAAAAATCAAATAGCTAACCCGGACAAAACATTTGTCGCATATGGCAGCAAAGAACCATTAACGGTGGTCGGGTCATTTGACACAAATATTCGTATAGGAGACCAGGTACGAGCGGGAACCTTCTATGTTGTTAAAGATGGCACAAGTGACCTTCTGGGGAAAGACACTGCCATTTCACTTAAGGTTCTCAAGATCGGTCTAGGTATTAATTTGGTAAGTGAATACAATTTTCCTAAAATTAAAGACTTACAGCTTACTATTTCTATTGACAAGTCTGTAAAACCTGTAGCTCAGCCATGCCGCAGAGTGCCCATACCCTTAGAGGAAAAAATTAACAAAAAAATCGACGAGCTGGTGAAATTAGACATCATTGAGCCTGTAAATAATCCTTCAGGTTGGGTTTCACCTATCGTGCCGGTACTTAAATCTGATGGTGACGTTAGGATATGTGTAGACATGCGATGCGCTAACAAAGCTATCATTAGGGAAAATCATCCTTTACCTACAATGGATCAACTACTTCCAAAATTTAGAAAAGCACGTGTTTTTACAAAACTTGATATTAAGGACGCATTCCATCAGGTTGAGATAAGTGAAGATTCTAGAGATATTACAACATTCATCACGGGACGAGGCCTTTATCGTTACAAAAGATTAATGTTCGGAATATCTTGTGCACCGGAACATTTCCAAAAAATTTTAGAAAGAATTCTTTTACCATGTGACGGTGTTGTTAATTTTATAGATGATATAGTAGTGTATGGCAAGGATGATTCCGAACATAATACTAGGCTTACGAAGGTTCTCAATATTTTCAAAGATAAGAATATTCTTCTAAACCAGGATAAGTGCGTCTTTAATGTTAAGGCTATAAAGTTTTTAGGCCATGAATTATCCCCTGATGGTATCAAGCCTTTGGATAAATATAGAAAAGTGGTAGACAATTTTAGAGAACCCATTTGTATTGAAGAAGTACAAAGTTTCTTGGGACTTATAAATTATGTAAACAAATGGATTCCCGACCTGGCCACTAAATCAGAACCCCTGAGAAATCTCCTTACCTTAAAGCTAGGTAAAAATGCAAATATTTCTCCTTACTGGGGACCCAAACAAGCTAAGTCGTTTTTAGAATTAAAGAAATCTTTGAGCAATATTCACACACTCGGGTACTACGACCCAAATGATAAAACAATCGTAATGGCAGACGCCAGCCCTGTAGGGTTAGGTGCAGTTCTCATTCAGTCTGACAGTGATGGACCACGCGTAATTGCTTATAGCAATAAAAGCCTTACCGAAGTTGAAAAACGCTATTGTCAAACTGAAAAAGAGGCTCTGGCGCTAGTTTGGGCAGTAGAACATTTTAGAATGTATCTTTATGGAAAAGAATCCTTTGATTTGATAACCGATCACAAGCCGCTGGAGGTTATATTTGGTAATAAATCAAAACCATGCGCTAGGATTGAGCGTTGGGTGCTGCGTCTTCAAGCGTACAATTTCAAGGTATTATTTAGACCAGGGAAGACTAACATTGCGGATTGTTTATCTCGTTTATGCGCCGTGGATAACCCCCAGCCGTTTGAAAATGGTTATCATGTAAATCAAATTGTCCAGTACGCGAGACCTTGCGCAATAGGTATGGATTTACTTATAAATGCATCTTTACGTGATCATGAAATAAAACTAGTTAAAGAAGCATTGTCATCAGACAACTGGGACCCATTAATAAATAGTTACAGAATATTTCGAACAGAGCTCTGGATGCACGACGACCTTTTGCTGAGAGGTAATAAAATCGTTATCCCACATGAATTACGTGGTCAAGTACTGGAGGCAGCTCATGAGGGACATCCTGGCATTGTTGCGATGAAGGCACGACTACGCACTAAGGTATGGTCCTAGTCTTTCTCCCCAAAAAGCTAGGCGCCTTTTGAAGGTTTCCCCTCGACATCAAAAAAAAAAAAAAAAAAAAAAAAGGTATGGTGGCCAAAAATAGACGTTGATGCCGAAAGACTAGTTAAAAGCTGTAAGGGTTGTACTTTGGTGTCAGCGCCTAACCCTCCACTGCCAATGAAACGCCGTGAGCTGCCATCACAAGCCTGGATTGACGTTGCAATTGACTTTCTAGGTCCGCTACCGAGTGGGCATTATTTATTTGTAATAGTTGATTACTTCAGTAGATACAAAGAGATTAAGGCTATGAAAACAATAACATCTGCTGAAACTATCAAAATATTAAAAGAGATTTTTTCTAGATTAGGAACACCATCAAGTATAACCGCTGATAACGGGAAACAATTTGTCAGCGCGGATTTTAGGTCATTTTGTCTCGAACTTGGTATAAATATACATTTTACAACTCCCTACTCCCCTCAACAAAACGGAGAAGTTGAGCGGCAGAACAGGGACATTTTAAAACGTCTTCGCATAAGCCAAAGTCAAAAGTCAAATTGGCAAGAAGACTTATTGTTGTATCTATCCATGTATAATAGTACCCCCCACTCGACCACAGGCAAAACTCCGGCAGAACTATTTTTCGGTAGACAGTTTAGAGACAAAATACCATCTCTTATAAATATAGAAAATCCTTTTACATCAGAAGTAAAGGATAAAGATAAAATAATGAAAGAAAAGGGGAAGGGATATGAGGATAGGAAAAGGAGAGCTGAGGATATGGATATAGGTATTGGTGAAAAAGTGTATATAAAAAATATGACTAAGGAAAACAAACTTGTAACAAACTTTGACCCAACGCCTCATACTGTCATAAATAGTAAGGGGCCAGAATATAACATAAGGAATGATCATACTGGGCAGGAGTTAAAAAGAAACATCATCCATCTTAAAAGAGTAGAAGGCCAGTGGGAAGTATGTTCAGAAAATAAAACCAATTTAGTTGTTAGTGATCAGAGCGGGGATAGCGACTGAATTTAAAATAACGATGCATATAATTAAATTAATAGCAACATAATTATTTACAGGAGGCGTTAAACATAAATCAAGTACCAAACCGGATATGATACACCGTCTCGTTCACTTTATAAATGTGTCTTCTGTATGTTGATTTGTTATTTTGATAAATTAGATATCATGTGTCAAAGAAAAACTGATTACTGTAACTATTAAGTAACAAGTATAATTATTATGCCCTAGTTTAATGTTGATTATAATTTAGTTTTAAATCATAGGGTTCTGCTTAAAGAAAGAATTGTGATTTGAAAAAAAGGGAAAGGTGTGACGTATTAGATAAATAAATATTACAGTCGTGAGCGCCGGACGCACGGGGTGGGGGCGACACTTGCAGGCGTCAGCCGTGCCGTGCGGACGTGCGATCACGACCACTAAACTACTGAGTTTTGCTATTTATTTAAACTACCCTAACATTTACCCCTAGTGACGGAGGACGTCACAATATTGTTCTCCTGTGTATTGATAAAATGTATCGACATTTTTACACAACATTTCTGAAAGAAAATGTGTCGAGAATTCTACTATTAGTAGCAATAGTTGTTATAATCATGTAAATTATATGAGGAAATGGAAAATTTACATCTAGAGGTCAATGGCGTGTTTCAATAGATATTTTTATTTCTTAGGTATGAAATCAATAATAGTACATATTAGACTGCCTCGTAGGCCGAGTGGTCGCAAGTGCGACTGCCGGGTTCGATTCCCGGGTCGGGCAAAGTATTACTGAGTTTTTAAAAATCTCAGTAGTAGCACAGAGTCTGGAAATGTGCCCGGTATATGGCAATAGACTCACCCCCTATTACATGGAACTCATAACATAAATAGTGAAAAGTGGGTTTTACATTGTACAGTGGCATTAAGTGCCGAAATGCGCACCTCTGCCTACCCCTTCGAGGATAAAAAGGCGTGATGTTATTTGTTATGTTACATATTAGACAATTATATGTATATATATAAAATTATTTTTGAAAACAAATATAAATGAATGAAGTCTGTCGAAATAGTACTAGAATTCTACCTCTAACACATTAATTAATGTACCTACACACTAATAAATTTTCTTCTACCTCCAAAGATTCCCAACAATATTATTATAGGAAAACAGCAGCGAAAAATACTTAGTTGAACTAACATTAGCCCTATTCTTTACCAGAAAACCTCTATATAGAATATTCATTTATACACACACGGCGACGGCAGCACATCAACCTACAAAATCCCAGTTTATCATGATCTCTCATTGTGTAATATTTCCGTACATTCGACGGTCAGGTTATATTGGTTTTGTATAGCTTAATATGTTACCCTGTGTACGAAGAATATAATAATGGAGTGTTGGGATCTGCAACGTCATTGTTGAGAGTGGCAGTTCAGTAACGACTTTTTTGGTTTATGTGCTTAGTAACTAATGAAGTGATGACTATCTTGTTGCTACGCGAGAGTTAATATGAGTTAGAACATATTATTAGCATAATATTTTTTTTTTAAACTGTCAAACACCAAGCGGTCACCGGTGACCACAACCTATTGTTCTATATATAATTGTGTCTACAAAAGCGGTACTCGACGAGTTAAGGGGGGAAAATCATCGAATGACTGCTCCCGCCCGGGTGAGGCGGGAGGGAGTGTCAGACTCTTACTGACTAAGAACCACCCTTTTCCTTCTCCTGCACGTCGAGTCGGAGCCCCGGTTACCCGTTAGGTTCTCCGCGACATAGCATAATATTAGATTAAATTAGTTATTGTAAGGCATATTATGTACCTTTATTAATAAATAAATAAAATAATACAAAACCTAATGGCATAAAGACTGCCTCGTTGGCCGTGTGGTCGCAAGTGCGACTGCCGAGCAAAGGGTCTCGGGTTCGATTCCGGGATCGGACAAAGTATTACTGTTTTTTTTGGAATAAGTAGTAGCACGGAGTCTAGAATTGTTCTCGGTATATACCTCTACATATATGGCAATAGGCTCACCCCCGATTAGATGAGACTCATAGCATAAATAGTGATAAGTGGGTGTTATATTGTACAGTGGGATTAACTCGTTAAGTACCGTCATTGTAGACACAATTATAGAACAATAGGTTGCGGTCACCGGTGACCGCTTGGTGTTTGACAGTTTAAGTGCCGTAATGTAAACCTCTGCGTAGGCACGGCAGGAGGTAATGTGTATCTCTGGAGGATAAAAGGCGTGATGTTATGTTGTGGTATAAAGAAATTAAATGTAAAGTTTGTTTTACCGTGTTTTGAGTTCTTCATTGGTTAAACTGATCAATCCTCAAGCGGTCACAAGTGACTCACCATGACTATCTTCATTATAAACCTTATTTCCGATGCTTAGAGACTACTTTTGTATGAACAAATATTGTGGATTTATATCAAGTGATTAAGTTACATCTGTGACTTATGAGCAAGGAGTAAGTTGGGGTAAGATTCTTAGGTCAGACGGAATTGTTAAGATTTTTCGGTTTTTCTAACGTTTATTAAATAAAAATACACGCAAAAAAATTAAGAATTCTATCAACAATAGATTGGTAGGCACAGGGTGAACTTTTTCGTGGATGCCACATAAGTCATTATAATTTTCAAACTATATGACTTAATTTCTTTTTATATTTTACTAATAACAATTGGAACCGACCACCTGGTGCCATATGATCGTCGACTTTAGGGACACCCTGTATATTAATATTATTACTAGTTTTTCCACGCGGGTTCACCCGCTCTGCTCAGCTCCTATTGATGACAAGGTGATATTTTATACCATGGTCATTCTCGATAAATACACTAAACGACACAAAAAAGAATTATTCAATTTAGACCAGCAGTTTCAGATCTTAGCGCGTTCAAACAAAGAAACAAACAAAATATTTAGCTTTATATCATTAAAGTAATATCAGATTATTATGTAGGCAACGTAAAATATAATGGCGTGGTGTGAATAGAAATCAATAATAACGTAATGAGCTGACCTATGCAAGCACTGGTAGTATAATATGGCATGTGTAGGCACACACTACACGTACATGAAGTGGCAACCGCTAATTAATAGAGTCAATGTTCACTGGATTACCTTCGATATGGACGCCATAGGATAGCACAGAATAGGATGAAAACATGGACACTATGTATGTTGTTTCAAAACTATGACCGTATCTATATTAAGTGTGGGAGAGCCATCCTTCGGCACGAATGGGCCGGCTCGACCGGAGTGATACCACGGCCTCACAGAAAACCGACGTGAAGCAACGCTTGCGTTGTGTTTCGTCTTGTGAGTGAGGTTACCGAAGGCCCAATTACCCTCCCCTTCCCCAATCTCCGCAATTCCTGAATCCCCAACGATCCTCAAACTCCTAATCCCCAAAAGGCCGGTAACGCACTTGTAACACCTCTGGTGTTCCAGGTGTTCATCAGGTGATCCGTCTGCTCGTTTACGAAAATGCTACGCTGAGGATGTTTCTTAACTTAATGTTTGCGTACGTATAAAGAAGAGACATATTAACATAGGTAGAGTAAGAGAATGAGTTAGAGAAAAAGAAAGAGATTGATAGCTGTTGTTTTCAAACTTCCCTTATAATAGCAGTCTATATGAAATTTCCGTTCAATAGGGTAGATGACAAATTTTTGTTCTAAAGTCCGTCTGGTAGATTATTTAAAAACATTAGATACACACTAATTTTTAATTTTTATACGGAAACGAATAGTTTCGAAGATATATTGATTTCAAATTTCGCGTGACGTCACTTCTATGAATGACGTTTTAGCCCCCACTCCTAAACTTTTGATTCGTTATATCTAAGTATCATTTTATTATACAACAAAATAAAAAAATACGTGTCTAATATTTTTTCATTACCTAACAGACGGACTAATTAAATTTTTAATTTTCATACCCTGTCATATCCCAATTTTCATTATTAAATAAGGATACAAAAAGCATAAAAAATCGACAGCCCAGTAACCGCATATAAACAAGGTTCCTAAAAACCGAAGGGTATTTTGTAACGAAAATTAATTACTTTACAATTAATTTTCATTTCGATCCATGGGATTCTAAGAAAAGGTTTTTAGATACGGTTAATTATGTTATGTCAGTTAATGACTATGCCATAATTAACACTCGGGACCCCGGAACATTAACAGCTGTTTCAAATCAGAATAAAAATATACAATATAAAATCACGATTTTTTTTATTGCAATAGAACAATATCATAATTATAATCGGGGATAGCGCTAATCCGCGGAACTAGCATTGGATAATTCCGCGTATCTGACAAATGTAGCTAATTCAAGTTTTTTTTTATGGCATAAGTCGGTAAACGAGCAGACTGATCACCTGATGGTAAGCAGTCGGCGTCGCCTATGGACACCTGGAATACTAAAGGCATTACAAGTGCGTTACCGGCCTTTTGGAGATTAGGAGTTTAAGGATCGTTGGGGATTCAGGAATTGGGGAGATTGAGGAAGGGGAGGGTAATTGGGTCTCCGGTAACCTCACACACACGACGAAATACAACGCAAGCGTTGCTTCACATCGGCTTTCTGTGAGGCCGTGGTATCACTCCGGTCGAGCCGACCCATTCGTGACGAAGCATGGCTCTCCCACACTTCCCAGAAAATCTTAGTTAGCTGCCACCACCGCCTTGATTCGAGTTCATTTCGAATCATTTTTAATATAACAATGAGCTTTAAATTCATTGAATCAATAAAGTTCTTGAGATTTAACCCTTCTCTAGAAAACTGGATCGATTTGGCGATGGAATTTGGAATACGTATGGTACATTCGCGGATTTGCACTATCGTCGACGATATACACAAAATGTCGTGGGTGCATTGTTGCTTTGTCAATGTCACATGCACATTAGATTCAAACTCGTACTAAACATAAATGTTATAGCAACTGGTCAAAATCTAAGGGGTCTGCGGTGACCGCTCGCCACGTACACCATTATAGACTTTATTTTCGATGTTTAGAGACTATTTTTGTAAGAACTAACGTTGTGCATTTTTCGTAACATTTCATACAATATTTAGACAATAAGATCACTCTAACATTGAGTCAGTGAATTTACCACTTTTTCTACTACACTTTAATCAATACATAGCCTGATAAAGGACCACACACCTGTGTCATAATCTAAACAATCAATTATTTCCCTTATCAAAGCTTTTATAGCACCAAATGTGTCTGAATCATTTTTAGTTTTACATTTAAAAGCATTTTCTGGAATGTCTAGTTGAAAGTTCAACTGATAAGTGTGAGATCTAGGATTTTATTTAAAATTGAATCTAAATTAGAGTTTTCTAATATAGGCAATTTGAACTTGTCCCTAGTTAATTTAACTTGTAAGAAAACTGATAAAATAGGAGATCGGAGGC